GTATTATGGCTCTATCCGGACGGTTGGTAGTTATTCCGCATAAACGACAGCTGGTAAAGCTATAGTCTTCCGTTATCGCTTGCTATTTGAATTTTGCACAGTTGTGCACCAGTTGCTCGTTGTTTGCATCATATATCGTGTACTGTCAGATCGATGCGAAACGTCGTTTGCCGTTTTTCCATCATTCGTGTTAAGATTAAAATAAAAAAACAAAATTCTTCAAAAAATGACTGAAAAATTTCTTTTTGGATGAAAAAAAGTACAGCGGAAATCGTGGCAGCAATTTTATTTCAATTTTGCTGAAATCTTTTTTTTATCTTTGTTTGACAAATCTGACTTTTATCAATCCAATTTTTATAAGCACAGATGTAATGTCAATATTGAACGAATTGTTAATCGCAGATAGCTTTAATTACTTTTTCTTTAACAGATGTTAGACCAGACAATACTTGATAGAAAGTCCGTAAGCGAAATACGGAAATTCCACGATAGCAGCGAAAAATAGAATAGTATAACTTAATTAAAAAAAGAAATATTCATGTAAATCAATGTTAATCTAAGAAAAAATCCCTATTTTTTTCTCTCAATTTAACAAAATTTACGTTTTTAACCGCGCTTTAGAACTTAATACATTTTTAATGAATGACTATGATCGATGCTTTTTTCTACGATCATTACGAGATTTCTGAAAAAGTAAAGCCTGTTCCTCCATCGTAACATTAAAATTATGCCAGAAAAAATAATAGAATATCCTGCAAAATCTAGTAGTATATTATTTTATCTTGTAAAATTATTTTATATTTTATAATACTTTAGCTATATATCATTATCTGCATTAGCTAAACATACGTAAGGAACGACAGATATTTGCGTAAACATTGTCATTAATCTCCAAAATAGGCAGCTAGTCAAATGACATTTGGAGGGAAAAAATACATTATGCTGATTATGCATAATAATAAAGCATAGAGCGATGATGTAATATTAATTCTTTAATACAAGTGTGTATGTGTGTTGAGTGCGATTGCATCGCATAATTAATTTACGTACTCCAACGCGATTTAACCCGTTGTTCCCTGACATCCTCGATGTGGATTTCTTCGAATTCGGCACCACGTACTGTATATAAGCAGGAATTTGACGGGTTTATTACTGTATCATAATATAGCGAAGCTTAATCTTATTATTTTGGAAAGGGTACATTACAGTAGAAAGAAAAAAGTATATAGCTAAAAATGTGACAGTTTTATGACATGTCGTTCTACGTTCGATAAAAATTAAAAATTATTTTAATCTATAGAATTAAGTATGAGCCCGTATTTTACGGTATAAATGTTAATACTGTTTTAACACAAACGAAAAATTTACTTGTACGTTACAGACTCTGTATAGCGTAAAAGATCGATAATGATTCCATAAGATTAGACGTCGTCTGAAATCTCCCTCGCGCTGTTAGATCCTCTTATTTTGCTAGATTTTTTCTTACAGACTTTTGACCGTTTAGCAATCATTCTTGTTCTTTGTGATAGATATAAGTAAATTGATTGATTAATTGATTGATCACCTAATGAATGGATGGACTTTGATTTGGTTTCCTAGTGTAAATATAAGATGATAATCGGGAAGTTTCTGAAGCTAAATAGCTGTTATTTTAATGGCTAGCCTGAATAAAATAAACTTTTTATATTCTTGTTTTTATATTTTTTGGCTTGATAATAAATTCTTAGGTAATACAGACTTAATATAATTTTTATGCAAGAATTCTTTGCATTATTTATGGAATGATGACCTAATCGTTTATGGAGCACACATTTATCGCGCATTCTTGTTTGTTGAGGAAGAGCGAGAGCGAGCGAGCGAGAGAGAGAGAGAGAGAGAGAGAGAGAGAGAGAGAGAGAGAGAGAGAAATGCTAATTACATATTATATGCATATATACTAGTTTGACCACATTATATATTCTCTTATTTTTTTAAAAAGTCTGCTGTTTTTTTTACAAAACTAAGCATATCCAATATTTATCAGAATACAATTTATTAGCTTAATATGCTATAAAATGTCTACAGTAATCAAGTAATATTTATTTAAAATTAAGTTTAAGAATTCATGCGTTTTAACGAATAATCTGAAAAGTATTTAATCTTACGAACAAAAACATATATTATGCGCTTCGATCTTTAGCAAAATAGTAAATGTTCTTCTTTAAATATCTATCTCAATAACGATATAATATACTGTTTTATAATTATCATATTGTTTATACAACTGTAAATATAAATTATATATTTGCACCGTGGAACTCCAAAAATTTAGCTGTAATATGAACAAAAATTGCAGTATATTTAGCAAAGCATGTATCAAAAGTTTAGATATAAACTTGATAGATAACGACAGTAGATTTTAATCATGTCTATAATACTTTATGTAGAAAAAGTTATTTTCTATTCTAATGCAATTTCTAACCTAATCGACTTTTCGCACGTAGGAAGCAATTGGTTACAGCCGGTTTATGCGAAAAAAAGCATTTCCCTGTTTCGATGAACCGAGCGTAAAGCTATATTTCATATAGGTACGTCTCGTTTATTCGAAGCGGTCCACCAGTACAAAGTCCAACGTGGCAATTTTAATGAATCACGTCGGAAAAATTTTATGTGTTACGTGATTTGTGACAGGGATCGATTAAATATAGCTAAATGTGAACTCTGTTCAAACCACGAATTAACAGAAAAACGTTCACAGAAAAATATCTATGCAGAATTTATATAGAAAGTCAAAAGAAGCTGATAAACAATAGCGAGCTGGTGATCGCATACTCTTACCTCATCTCTCTTTCTGTTATGATGGAGAATTGGGACCTGACGTGACACAAAAATTATTTACAATGGAAGATTTTAGTTCGTCGATAAATTTGCAGAGTATATAATATGGATGTCTACATCCGATTTCAAACAATACGAACACTAGCTTTTGTAATTCACTTTAATGAACAGATACTAAACGCGTAATCCCCGATTTCATCTCCCCTTCGATGTTTCCACTTACACGAGAATAAGTATCTGAATGTAGATATATGCACCGTGAGTTTTGATTGACGGTATGTATCGTAAGCTCGGCTGGAACGTCGACAGTGAATCGTTCGGTAACAGGTTGACAATGTTCTGAATTTTATTTTCCCTTCGCTCGACGTCAATCAATAGCCTTTGTCGTGTCTCAAGGGAACTATGCGCGATAATTCCGCATGCGGCTTGCAGCGTCGTTCACAAGCGTTAGAGCTGTCTCGCTTTTGTCGGCAACAGCCTGAGAGAATTTGTAAATAACGAAAGCGCGAAACGATTACTACAGCCTGATATTTGTTCAATCACGTATTCCGGTAAGAAATAGTATTTGAAAAAAAATACGTAGATATGAATTTCGGATTTTTACAATAACGACATTGCTAGTTTTGTTGCACGGTCGAATGTACTGAAGCTATATATTTCAGAATTTGTAGCAACAATTACTGAAGGAAACTGATGTTCACGAGATAGAAAGATTAATTAATGTTCGGCAGTACGGGAAATGAAACTGTTCTTTGTGAATCAGTAAATTAATCACGAAGGGATAAAATGTTGTTTATCGCAATATGATCTACTGTTTTTATCTATTTTGATACGAATGAATAAAGCTTGAAATAGTTACGGAAGCTGATCTGAAACGGTTGTTTTTTTCTTTCATATCAGGTATCTGGAAAAATACCGAATGAAAAGTTTAATCCTCGCAAGTAAACAAGATTTCTTTGAAGTCTTGTTGAACTCCTTATGAGAATTGCTTTGAGACCCACAGGACTTGCTGTTATGCCGAAAATACGATACATTTTTCGTCTTTCACGGTACCTGAGAATGTATATTAGGTACATGATGAATCCATGTTTTCGAGAGCCTGAAGCTAATATTCTTTGGGAGCCTATTTCTTTCGCACTGCCGGTGAAATATTTAAAAATACGAACATGATTATGAAAGTACGATTATGCATTTTATATTCACGCAATGCGGCTGCAAATGACAAATAATTCAATGTAAATATCGACATACATTTTAAGCTTTATTGAACTTCATTAGCTTATCGGTAATTCATTGATATCTATTTTTAATTGTAGTATTAACGATTACGATTCAAATAAGACGATTTTCTTATCAGAAAATACAGATTGTGCTATGGATAATGCAATTGCCGTGATAATATTTCTGTTTACCAGAATAAATTGAAACAATTAAAGTAATTGTATAGTAATGCTTTATTGCTACTATTTCAAAACCTTGCGTTCCGTCGATAAACATCCGGAAGCAGAGATAGGAACACAAAGATAAACGCTATAGTGAGAAAGTAGAATTAATGTCGCCTAATTTCGAATAAATTTACAGAGAATCAATGGATAATAATGAGAGTCAGTGGTTGCGATCGGATTCATGTTCTGTGTTCGAATATTTTAAGGATTATATATATATATATAATATTTTATATACATATAAAATATTGTTTTATTGTTAATTTGCGTTACCATCAATTTAGAACCAAAGAAATAATAATTAAAGATCATGGAATGAATATATGTAAATATATATATAATAATGCTCTATCTAATAAATATTTTTTAGACAACTAAATTTTTTTTTTAATGGATAAAAAACATTTCTTGAGAGAATTACTTTTAAAATAAATATTATCTTTTTCATCCAGCCTTTGATATTTAACCCCGACGGGAACGTGATTTCGTTATCACCTGTTAAATTTTAATAAATCGACAAACATTCGGAAAATCGATAAATGATGAGAAATCAGTCGATCGGCGAATGCAGCTCGCATCTTGCGACAGCATTTGCTGGCGCTCCAATGTTCGCGTAGCACGAAATACATGACACGTACGCGTTGGTTATCAGCTTTATCGAAACTTCTTTCGTTACTGGGCTATCGGAATTGGCATAAACAACCGGCAACGTCGGTGTTTGCCGCCTCTGGCATCTGTGAACGATACACAGTCTGACAGACAACACAGTTGTCGCCCATCATCCGGCCTCGATGCCTTCTTCATTTTCGGCTGAAATGAACGGGACCGTGCACTACGCTATGGTGGCCTTGCGGGAGAAATCCGATTGTAAAATCATCGCGGATTATTCCGTGGATCCAAATCCGATCTATCGTACTATTGCCCTCGGTACCATTGATAGCGTGAGAACCGAGGATGACAAAATTAGCGTCGATAAGAGTAGGTAAGATCTTTTAGACTCATGCGTATAATAATTATATGCGAAAAATAATATACTAATTTAAATTTGAGTGGCACGTAAAAAAGAAACAGTATAACTAGATTTATACATTTCAAGCGGGAAAGCAGCAGATTTCGCGTGACAAATTTGTTTTTCACACTTACAATTAGAGAAGCGCATTAAATTATGAGATATATCATGTAGCGATTATACAGCAGTTTTTCCTGTTATATTAATAAACTATTTGCTGAAATCGTTGACAAGTGTGATAGGTCGCAGGATTAATTAACCCACGATAAGATTAACGTGCCTCATTACTGTCACTCTCTTATCCGCGGTGCAACGGGTATAAAATCCAATTCTTCTATAGGTACACAGTACACATATTGATTGGGGATCTTTACTATGTCTGTTTGACATCGAAAGTGGATTGCCCTTCATCAGCGATATGGGTAGAATCGTGCTGTCAAATATTTCTGCAGAGAGTGAGGAGCGTGTATAAAGAATTACCACTGGCGGATCTATCGAAAAATCTGATCAATCTTGTAGAAGATGATCTCTCAAAACCGTTAAAAAAAATGATTGTAAGTGATAAAACAATTTTATAGCAAGAGAAGTTAGCATAAAGTTTACAAAAATTTTTAAATTAAAATTTTAAATAAAAATAAATTAAAAGAAAGCAATTTATGAGCTATTTAAAGTGTGCTGAACTTTTTGGCTAGTCTTAATAATAGGGAATAGTTAAACTGGAGCACAAAATATATATTCGTAATTTCAGATTCTATAATAGCTTCTCTCTAAAATAAATGGTACTATTGCGCATAAATGTATATAGATGAAACGTATATAGAAAAATAGATAACAATATCGACATACATGAAAAACGGAATTGACATTATTTTAGGAAGAGTATAATCAGGGTAATGGTTGTAAGAATCTGACCTCAAAACTAGAGGAAGAATTGGTTGAGGTACGTCGAATATTGATGAATGGAGTCCAAAAGTTGATTGATAGGGGCGAAAGGTTAGACGAACTCATCCGAAAGACGCAGAACCTCGAAATTTCGGTAAGAAAATCTCGATATATTTTTCTTTGCCTTTCTCATCTCTTTTCTCTATATAGGCTTTTGACGGGAGGGCTCGTAAACATGTAATATGAAACATCAATCAAAAACATAAATTGTAACAATCGCGGCGCAATGTTTCCCATTAATACTCGAGTTAATTAAAAGTTGCCGATTCGTATTAATAATTCATAGAAATTTTGTATTGAAATCGCTGATATATATTCAGTTAATACACCCTTTTATATGTTTATGACCTCCATAATGGGGAACGTCTCTGCACCGAATAATCGTAACCGTGTAACGTAGTTTCTGGCATGCAGCTAATTATAAATGCTACAGCGAAGAAATGAATTAATCTTAAACGCAGGGTCGCGCAACTCCCTGACCTCGACAAACCTATAGCAATCGCTTATCGCGTTACCGTTGCAATACATAACATTTATGAATATTCTTATTACAGTCGCGGGACTTCCACGTAGTGTCAAGGACTCAACAAAAGAGAAACAGTAGCCTGAAGATAGCAATCGTAACGTCAGCCTGTATGTTCGTGTTGGTCGTATTATTTATAGCTTTGATATATTGGTTTGAATTTTATTGTAATCCTTATACACATGGTACATTAATGACTACTCGAACTAACTAGGAAACTAGAAAACTTTAAATTACATCCAGGTGACGACAACAATTTAAAAATCAGTTACATTAGAAAATAAAGATCAAAACATCATTATACGTACGATAAAGCGAGCGTAATTGATTCGACATCATTCATTCGACTTGGCAAACAATGACAATACAACATGAGAGAAGGAGAATATTATGTGGCTTTCCTCGCCTACTGTTCGTAGCTCAATGAATACAAGATATGTATTCATAGAACCAATATAATATTCAACTACTTCATCAATTAATGCTGTACTATTAATATTTAAACAAGAATAATTGTACATACTTCGTGGTCAGAGTAGTTGCAATACTTTTTTTAAAATAAGTTCAGAAACGCGCATTTAGATTCAGAATAAGAACTACTTCTCTATTACAGATTTCTCGCGGCACATAATACTTATAGTTTAATGTATGCAACACATTTGTATGTGCAAGTTTGACAATATATCATTACCCATTGCATATAACTGAACATTGCACTTAACTTCACGAACCATAAATAATATGTTCCACCATACATACATAACATATACATATGTATAAAAATACATGTAAAAATTTTGACCATATTCTTGAAAAGAGTTTATATTTAAAAAATTGTACAATTTCTATTAAATTCGTATTTTTATATAAAAATTTGTATAACAGATCTTGTAAATAAATGCAATATCTTTCTCTTACCTAATTATCAAATTCTCCTAGCTACAAACTAATTCTGCTTTCTAACGAGAACTTGTGCCCCGAAAATTGATAAAATTACTTCTCTTTTGCCTGTTACTTAACACTTATATTGTATAAAAACTTACGTGTTATTAATCAACCTAAGTGAACCGTCGAAATTCACGATATTCGTTCACAATATGAAGTATGATATGCTTCAAGATGATCAATTAGCATTACGGAAAAAGAGCCACAATTAGATGCGAGTATCGACCTTATATCTTTTTTTTTTAAGTAGAATCTATAGAAATACAAAATTATAATCTCTGATTTAATTTCGTATATTCTAATATTTATTAAATAGTGATTTCTATGTAAATAGATATATTAGAAAAATGGCGTCGCTGTTAAAATTTACGGTTAATCCTGTTGAACTGCGGAATGCGATTAAAATTAAACACGATTTAGCCGAATCATCAAGACTTGTGCATTTTATCGCTGCTCGTAAGATTCAGGTTAGTCATAATCCGGCTGTATTAACACAAGATATATAATATATTAGTAGATGTACATTTTTAAAAACTTTTAACGTCCAGGCTTGGTTCCGCGGTATTATCACCCGCAATCATGTTCGTAAACTTCACGAAAACGCAACGGTTCTGCAACGTCATTGGCGCGGTTATCACGCCAGGATGTTCATTAATCAGTATTTAGCCGAACGTGTTCGCCAGATGTGGCAACATCATTACAATAACATGGCAACGAGGATCCAGGCCGTTTGGAGAGGCTATTGGTCCAGAAAAACACAGATAAACTTTTTGCAATTGCAACAATGGTTGAGGAACGTTTACACGAAGAACAACGAGACTTTAGAGAATATGAAAAAGTATGTTCTCGCACATATGTTCTGTTAGGCTCGACAATATTAGCGATGCACTGTCTTATTGTAGATTTAGACAAGGAGAGCTTGAGCACGCAGAAAGCGTGACTGAACAAGAAGCAATGCTTTGGATTTTATTTATCTTGTTCAAGGTAAAATAATAAGATTTAAGTGCTAATATTAGAGATTAGATCTTTGCAATTTGCACATATACACTTTACGATATATGTAACATTAATATCTAAACATTGCTTACACATTATGTTCCTAAAGCTGCATCATCTGTTGAGAACGAAGTGCCGTCCAGGTGTCATTACGAGAATTGACAAAACTCGCTTCGTGTACATTGAGGAAATGTTAAAGTGTCTCGAATACGATCAATATATCTCAAAAGCAAGATCTGTTTGCAGAGACTGTCAATTCGTTCGTAAACCTTCTTTAATTTTTCACGGCACTTATTTTGAAAGATGCGAGAAAGAGATTCGCGAGTTTGAAAAGAGTTTACTTGCCGAGAACGTGTCCAATTTCAAAAGTACAATTACGTAACTTTTATTATAAATTAATCTCATATTTTATACAAAGCACACGGTTTCACAATTTTAATTAAAATATTGTCTTTTTTTCTGTAGATCAGCATTTCAAAGAAAACAGTAGAATTATGATAAAAAATAAACGTTTAGGCCATCAGCAAAAAAATAAAAATTCCGGAAAGTGCTTTCATCAAAATCTAACATATATGCAACCGAACAAATTATACGAAGCTATTAACAAAATGGACTGCCAATTGAATCAGTTTCGCTTAATTTGTCCAATCCATAATCTTATCTTTTAAAAATTTATATTCAGACAAGCAGGAAAAGTCTAACATAAGTTTAAACAAAAATATTCATTGCGCAAAATCTAATTTCGTTTTTAATCTAAATTTAAATATATAAATTTAGAAATAGGAGATGTAATCTCTTATTTTTTAATTTCTAATCTACTTGATTATATGTCGTATTTGAGAAAAGAAACAAAATTATTAAAATAACATTTTGAAAACACATAAGTTTATTATTAATCACATATAATTATAAATAGCAAAATAGCACGTACATATTTATAAAAATTTAGATAAATATAAAATAAAGAATATAACAACATTGAAAGTTTCCGACTTGAAGATAGTTTCTTCGGTCCAATTTTTGCTTGTTTCTGCGCTTAAATTGGAGGAAAACCTTCTTTATTATATGCGTAATAAAACGGGTACTTTTCACTTTTATTCCGCGCGTAGGTTTACAACTCTTGCAGGCTCTGATAATGAAACAATACGATTATTGCTTTTCACAAACATATTAGTAGTTATCTTAATGATAGCTCCATCTTCTGTTCTTGTTCGGAGACCTTCCCGCTTCTCTATCACTAATGACATCGCTCGGGCGAGGCAACCTCGAAATGCACGTGGATTGTTCGGCTTTTTGTTTATTCTGCAAAGCGGGTCCTTGACAATTCTCCTCAGTTAGGGCATATGTGGCGGCGAATTCTTCGGGCTTCGTCACAATGCAATTTTTAGGAACGATGAAATCGTTGTCGGAACGCAAGTCGTAGTTGCCGCAAAGACCGCGTACGGAATTGAGATATTTGAAGGACGACTAACAACAGATATATACATTTCATTATATTTAATTTTAATTTATACCAAGTGCAGTCATAATTATACTAAGTGCAGTCTATTTTATGGTATACACAACTTGCTTTATTTTCTTACTTACATGCAGTAGGATACGTTCGCCGTCATACACAGCGTAGATCTCATGTTCGCTCGAGAAAATTGCGATCATTCCGTCCAGTCGATAGATTTCGAAGGTGTTTTCTTGGTGGGTTTTATCACCCGAGATGTCAACTACCCGACCGTTAACCGTAGCTTCGAGATCATCACCCGATTTCTTCAGATAAATTTCTCGTTCATCTAATATTATCCGGATCTGTTTGCTGCCATCATCCATTTCTCGTGCCAGAATCATCACCCTCAAATATATCGGAATATCCATAAGTTTTTCGGTATTAAAAGGACTCCCTTTTGGATAAGTGGTCGTCATCACGTGCCAACAATTCCCCAATTTCAAGGGATAGACCTTTTCGTCAAAAGTAACAACTTGAGTTTTGTCCAGAACGCACATAGCTGCAAAAAAAGCCTCATGTTATTTTAATGCTATAGTCAATTCTAATGTTATGTATATATATATTATATAAATAATTTATGTAATATTTCACAAGACATTTTGTATATTATTCTCAACAATGATGAGTTAAGAAAATCTTAAAAGGTCGAATATGATCGTGATTATAAAATAAAATCATCAGTTGTCGCTATAATGATTCGAATGTTATCTTGTTTTCATAACACCCGATATGACGTCAGAGCGGTAAATTTTTACTTACGATGTTTACTATCAAATATTATTTTTTACAAAACTCTATAACTTACATCCGTCTGTGTCTTCGTCGAGAATGTTTGAGATATTGAATTCTCTGTTGGAAATGTCTTTCAAAGAGAACTCAACGTCCATTTTCGAAGTGCGCAAGGAAATTTTCGCATCATTGTTATCGGGCTGCATTTTTATCTCCATATCGATAGTGTTCTCGTTAGCACTTCCCCAGAATGGCATCTCCATATTTCCTTTGGAAACAAACATCTTGATGAAAAGGATGATTTTGTTAGCAAGCGTATAGATTTGCTCCGAGTCCGTGTCTATTGTCATCATAAAATGATCTTTCCGATTGACTAAATCGCTGGCTCGCTTACAAGTTGGCGTCCAAATGTTGCCTTTTTTAATTTCTTGCTGACAGTTCTCGACTATCTCGGATGTCATTGCCATCCGCTTGGCATCGTCTGTACGAGTCCAATTTCCTTTGAGTCTGATCGTCTTTTCGTTATCTCGCATCTCAGCTTTAAATTCAGACATCGGCATCTGTTCGGTCGCCTTGTTAAAGTTTAGAGGTACGCTGCGTGATGACTGCTGGTATCCAATGGTGCAAAACTCCAGAAAGACTTCTCCGTCGCTTGGCGATTGGATATTCCAATATAAAAGGACCTGATGCTTGTCATTTATGCGGCTGGTTGCCCCAGCGAGAGTGAGAACGTGTTGATTATCCTCAGTAAGAATACTTAGGTCGTAAACATAATTGACGGCGGATTTGACATCTTTGCTGACTTCCTTTAGGAATTGTGCTTTTCTCGCCTCGCTTTCCGGCTGTTTGTCAACTGTTGCAGGAATTGTTGCCTCTGAACTGTCGAAGTCAAACGTCTCTGAACCATCGAGAGTTATGTTTACATGCGCTGCCGTGAGATACACGATTAAGTCAAATTTTCTGTAATGGGCGCCACTATTCCTAAATACCTTAGCAATGTCGCCAAGGGCTTCAATTCCCATTTTCTTCGAGGTTTCAGTGTCAAATTGATCACTTCTTGCCGCGAAGATCGCACTGCCTAGCGCGAATTCTATTTCTTGCGGTTCCTTCGTGTTCACCAGGCGCGTGTCATTGCTGGAGGGAACAGGCATATGAGACAGAACGATGGGGCTTGCGGTATAAGGAACGACGCTATGGTGAATCGCCATATGCCCGGTGCCGTATCGATAATATTCGCGGGGATGCATTTCAATCTGATATTTATTTCCTTTTTCCGATTTTTTGACACTTAAACCGGCTGGTATGAAGATTTGTGTGTTTATATCGATACCGGCAATGTAGTGCCTATGCTCGAAAGGCGTTACGAAACCAATTCTGCTCTGGAGCTTTTCGCTTGATAGTAAATGGCCCGCCACTGTTAGTACTAAAGATGCATTTTTATCTGTGAGAGCTTTTCCGCTGCTAATTCTCCCTAATTTCGGTATCGTTAAGGTATACATAAACGGCAGGCCGCTTTCAGTCGGGAATCCCAGCGTCATGTCGTATTGGTAGAGGTAATTTTTGTTTCTGGATTCAAAATGTGAGGCTGTCTTGAGCGATTCGAGATACCTTCCCCACGCTGTAATACAACAATAGTAATAATTATTTATTATTTATTGTTATTGCTGGCAATGTCGAAAGCAATGAAAGAAATCCTTCCTTTATGGAAGAAGCTACTGTAGTTGCGAAAAAAGCACACAAAACTATAGCAAAAATATAGCAATTATTGTAATATTGACTATAATTTCGAGTACTTTTTTCACAACTACAGTAGTCTTTCAGATCTTTCTGTAGTATTTTTCCATAAGAATTGAAATAAATTTTAGATTACTTACTATCGAGCATTTCGTTAAACGTATTATTGTCGAGGGGATAGAAGCTTGAAGAGAGTATACTGTCAATGAAAACATTTCCTTCGAACTGTTCCGGATTATCGGGCTTAATACCAAGCTTCTCAATAGTCTCTTCAATAATCGATTTCTTTCCTGTATTTTTTAACCCGGTATTCTGGTACCACATATCTGATAGCAATTCTCTGATGTGTGACACTGTATACATTAGTTTTGAGGGAGGTAAAGTGAAGCCACCGAAAGATTGATGTATATCAAAATATACACCTTTAGGAATATTGTTGTCCACGCTACCAATTGTCTGGAGAATATTTGTTTGATCAACATTTAGATAAGCGTGAATCACTTTCTGAAAGATGCTTTGAGAGTCATTTTCATAAATGCGAGGATTCAATAGCTTTCTAGCGATACGCGCCTTGTTAGCGAGAGATTGGAACTCCGGTTGTTTCAAATCAGCAAGCATCTCTATGCTAGTCTTGACGGCAGAATTTACGTGATGATCTTCATCCTGATTAGTGAATTCCGCTATTCGCTGCAACATGCTCATAGGTGGATTGGTCTTCATTATGACGTAGACAGCTGCACAACGTAACTCGTATGCCTCCATCGTATTCACGTAGATCTTGTAGGCGACGGATCTGGCGACTCTCGGAAAGTTTTCGCCTAATTTGTTTAACGTGATGACCATCATCAAACGTTGGAATTTGGATACCGGCAACGTGCCCTCCAGATACGGCTCAAAGACGGAGAGTACTTTTGGATGACCAAAATTACCCAACGCCATAATGTACGTTTGTATTCGAAGACTGTCGCTTTCATTGATGGCTTCTCTCAATTGAGTGGCCATATATGGAATATAAGTTTCCAGAAGTGCATTGTCATGTTTGGAGACCGTACGACCGACACCGTACACCGAATAGTAGATAGATGACTTGTTGTTTTGACTGTAACGGACCAATTCGGCAAATGACAAAGGTGCGGTTGTGTTCAAAAATCTCTGTTTTCTTACTTGTTCATCAGTGATCAGTTCCTACACAAAAGTTGAACATTGAAATTAATCTTTGCATGTAAGTCGTAATTGCTGGTACAAAATATTTGAACGATGATAGATTTGAAAGATTAAAGATCTTCTGATTTCTTACATATTGTTTTAATACATATACATATATTAAATACTAATATAATAAATACTTACGAAAAACGCATTGATATATTCAGCCGTAGGTGTAAGTGCGACTTTGGGAATTCTCGAAATGATATCTGCCGCTTGCATGCTCCCGAGTTTCTTGTTTATTATCCAGTTTTTGATGGTGATGAGAGCAGGCCCAGTTCCGGCCTCTGTAACGGCGTTGCGAAAGACATCCCATGCGGTTTGGTTGTATAATTTCTGGTATTCTTTAGTAAAAGATGTGTTATAATCGCGGAGCAACTCGGCCAATACGTTCTCTAATTCAGTTATCTGCTCGACATCCATGGTACGAATCAATCTGACCAGAATTGTGAATTGCTCTAAGATATCTGTGAATGGCTTCCGCAACATATCATCAGGGAAATTCTCCATTTTACTGGTTATCCAAATAATCAAGCGGGCCGCAGCAGAATTCTCTTCATCCTTCACGAGGCTCTTGTCTTTGTCTCCGAAGAAAAAAGGCAATATTGGACTCTTCGGAGCGTCGGCTAATTTTGGTTGCAAGTCGCGCTCTTCATTGTTGGAGCTTGAATTACTTAAAGAACTGCCGTTGATGTCATCGTTGATGTGACTTTCCTCACTAGAACTGTCAGAACCGCGGTTCTCGGACGACCGAGCCGCTAAGGGACCTCGACTGACACTCGGTATGTGCTGGCTAGAGAACGGATCGTTGTAAGTGTACACTAAGTTTCCGGTTGATACGAGATTGTTGGACACGGGCATGAGGTTGGAAATCTCGCTCATTCTGTCCAAAGTTAAGTTTACTGTAACGAAGACAGCGCCGGAGTACGTATCCTGAATTTTAGAGCTGACGAATATATTGTTTGTCGTCACGGACGATTGAATAGTAAAACGTGTCAGGTTGCCCGAGATGATAATGCGACTCGTAGATAATCTCTGTAACAAATATACGATCGCAAAAATAAGTTTCACTCTTTTAGCTATGTGTGCGTTTTTATTTTAATTATGTATAGAAGAGCGTATGTATAGAAATAACAACATTCGAAAGAATTTCGCCAAATTTCTTTCTTCATATAATTCTCAATCATACAAGATTTTATCAGCTCAAGTGTTATGACAGTTATCAGTCAAAATCCAACTCACTGAAAGAAGTCCATCGTTAGATTCCGGTCCCCAGTTCACTTTACCGACGATACCAGAACGATAAGCCATTCGCTGCTCGCATCTAGTGTAATTTTTCGTCTTCGTAATATCGATAAGAATCTCACCGTTGCGGAGATTTGGAAAAGGTACTAATTCTGGCGTCTTGAAGAGAGCATTTAAAGACAGTGGCATAATATCGTAAAGAACCTCGCACTTGCCGCCGACAGAGTCCTCCATGACTTTAAATGTACCGAAGGGCTGGTTATCATCGGGCTCTTGAGTGCCCCTGCCCCCTATCGCATTCTCGCCCCGAATGTCAATCTGCAGCTGACTCACGATACTCTTCAGCAAATTCACCTCCCAAGTAGGGACATCTTGATCGACCAATACATCTTGGATCACTCCGTTCTTGAGCTTGATCTCGAAGGGCTTTTCCGACATGGAAAGCTTCTGAAGTTTAAGGTTGTTGACCTCAGCGTCATTCCAACCTTCCGGAATTTCTTTGTGCACGGGCGCATACTGCGTGTGGGAAACCACAGCTTGCAGTGTGTCTGACGATTTCACCTGAATCGTGAGACCACCCTTTATATAAACCCCAGAGAACTGATTAGCTAGCTTGTCTAAGACCGTCAATGTATGGCTTTGTATAAGAAAGTGATATTCGTTTCCAGTTTCCCAAGCATGTTGATGATCGGCTACGGCTGATCCAACTACCGAGAGAAAAAGCCGTCATTTTTTATAAGCATATTTTAGTAAATAAAATATATGTAGTTTATGTAAAGAAATAAATAATGAAAAATGAATACAAAATTTTATTATATTGTTTATTTTATTTGCATATGTATATAAGCTTAAAATCCCTTGCACACTGTGTATCTACTAATCTGTTTCTTGTAATAATTAGCACGTTTAGATTAATACTTTTTTGTACGTTTACAATTTGTATACAATACTTATTGTTTCTTTTAAAATTTTTGTTGTAGTTTTATATTATCAACAAATTATTTCTATGAAATATTTCTTGCTCAACTTCTTCATTTACAATAATATTTTTATAAAAATTCTTATTTCTCTATTTTCACACATATATTTTAATCATATCTGTAGGTTATTAAATTTTATACACATTAATAAAGTTATATTATTAATAATATAATTATATTATTAATTTTATGAATAAGAAATTTGTAGTACTATATTAAAAGAGGATGAACTTCCATAAGTTTGAATAAATTATAGTAATTAAAAAGAAAAATAATACATAGAAGTTTCAAATTTCACAATATATAATCACTTTACCACGCAATAATAAAAATTCTTTTAGACACGCATTAAACACAAAATTCTTTTAGACACGCATTACACAAAAGACGAGAGAAATGACGTTATCGTACCATTTTTTTAGAAATTAACATTATTTATGATATTGACGTTTACTTACTGATTAGGAGAAATGTCAGATACAACCACATGATATTACGTGGATAGTGCCAGATGCAAAATGGGAGCTCCCGCTTCTTAATCGGATTTATATACGCTTCGTGTGTCATGTCAGCTTGACCTGCGCGACGCGATGTTACATTGATTTAGATTCCAACTTGAACTTAAAACTGTATTGTTCCGTGACACGTGATAAATTATTTTAACCTTGTACACACTAAAATTGCACTTGGAGCATCCGTAGTGTAATCGAGTGTGATTGAGAGTAATTCGCCATAATGTATACTTGGAAAATTGAAGACGAGATCGTGACACACTTTATATTTCCCAGCAGAGCAATGACTTCGCCTAAAAACATATATGATTCAGTTTACCAATTATCCAACAATAGGTATCCGTATTTATTAATAATTTACTTTACAATCCCTATTAGAACTAATTAAAATTTATTATGATAATAATGGCTCGATATCGAGATATAATCAAAAATTAATCAAGAGATGCTGTTCACAATATTGGAAAGTCCTAAAATTCATATAATTCTTTACACGACATTTTTGTGGTAAAAATTAGAAAGAAATTAATTTATATTACAAATTATGCTAAGTATGCTTAAAATTTAAGCGGTTGATGTTTATATGTTTTATCGATTTTTTATATAAATTTCTTAGAATTTTCAGATCATAACATTTGTAATCTTTTGCAGACGTGTTTCCCTAACATATATCAAATTCCCGTTATTTAGTCAATAAATAACAAGATACTGCATAGGTTCATAATAGGTCACTGATAATCTTTTAATATGTGAATGTCTCTATAGTCTATTATATTTCAAGAGAATATTTGCATAATGATTATTACTATTTTACTTTGTGAATTAATTACTGAATAGTTTTACATTGTTTACTAGCCATATTTTTGACTTTTTTAATAAAACAAGGTCAATTATAAAAATAGGACAAGATTTTGTCTCTCAGGTCTCTCTATAAGCTGTCAGCTTTTCAAAGGGAAAGAATAATAGAAAATTATCCATTATTTTTATAAGCAACGAAATTTTGTTAATATAAATATAAATATTTTAGTAGGTGTTTACATATGCAACGGAATTATATAAAACTATCGATAAAATGGACTTGTAACTGTAATTTTTAAATTGTCACTCGTTTCTTCAAAAAATTTGCTATTACAACATGGAAGAAAAAACTAAATGCAAACTAATACATTTATTCATTAACGTCTATTTTTCTTTTGATAAGGAGGTTGGTTGCCGTTACGTGCGGGGCAGGTGGCACGGCAGGGGAAAGCCTATAGATTTTCGTCGCGTAAAATAAACAAGTTTTAACAAATAAATATGTGGAAAACATTTGATTAGCTGTTTCTTAAGGTTTTTGTCGTTGTTTGTGTAATCGCTGTTTGCACAATTAAAACTCAAATACGTTATTATCCACATTGAAATGTGGCAATATGCTATTTTATTTTTATAATTTCTTGATAATGTAGACAAATCATTTCAGTTTTCGTAAAAATATTTTCATTAAATTCTTATCATTTTTAATATGCTTTCGAGAGTTACATTACAGGTGTCGTAACTTTTTGCTATGTCGCCCGTGTACAAGAGAGAGATAAGAGCATTATAACTTCAATCAAGAGACACGGTAGTGTCTTGCACCAAGTACTGACCGTGACTCATTTACGCGACGCGACGATAATTAATTACTCGACAACCATGCAGACAGTTGTCTTCAACTTTGGCATAAACAACAGATTCTCATAGACGAATATCCTCCATAAATTTGAATTAATTTTTATTATATTAATTTGAGCAACCAACCTACTTAACTCATATATTTATAGCTATATCTCGAATAGCCCATATAGAACTTCTACTTTTCCAATCAATTCAATTGAGAGCTGTGTGATGATCGTGTTTATGGCGCAAATACGGCGAGAAAAGTAGAAAACGGATGCAGAGACGACAATGAATTTCGCGATAAATTGTAGTTTTTATTACGCGGTCAATATAAAATATATGAATATTTATATTATATGCATATGCACAGTTTTTTAAGATACGTTACACGCAAATGCACTGCAAACTCGCGGAGGCCGCACGCTGCGCAAAGCAACTCCGAGATAGAAAGCGAGCAAAGTAAGCACTTTATAACTGTGAACGCTGCGATACGAGACCGTGATACTACCATTAGCGACTGGTCGTGAAGCTGCGGGATTACAAGGTTTTATGCTTTAGGTTTTCTAGAACATTCGGGAATCTTCACGACCGTAGAAACGGAATGCGAAGCATCTTGATAGTCGAGATAATTAGTTGAGATAACAAGAAAGACGTGATAATCAAAACTCGTTTGCCTTTACTTCAGCTTAATCTTAGTTTTACGAATAGTTTTTGACTATATGTACATCTAGGAGAGATTGAAATAAAGGTTTAACGGTTGTTTTGATAAATTACTGGTATGAAAGTTAATAACGATCTTAATTAAATGCCAAAAAGAATACAACTAATAATTATGTTGAAAATATTCAACTTTATTCTTGCTTGCACTACTAAAATTACTAAAAGCACATATTTGCAGCCTTTTAAAAAAAGACGAAATAAAAAAAAGAAGAAGTCGTTTCAATTAAGTATATATGCATGATCGGTATATCACTTCGGTATTGCCAGATTACGCAGCGCTGCAAGCGCCGTGCGGAACTTGGAAAACGTGCGACTTGGTGGCAGGCTTTCGGGACAAATCTGGATTAGCGCCATTCTCGACTCTTCGTTTTAGCGATGTAGATTCTTCGTTTCTCATCTGGCAATAAAGAGGATATTTCTTTGATTTTCTTTCTACGGGCACGGTACCCTCGCGGCATGTTGGCACAGGCCTGGTAGTGAA